TACGTGTTTCTATGGCCAACTGCACTCAACAGTAAGGTATTCAGACAAATAGTCTGATGTCATGGAGTAGGGGGGAAAAGCTTTATTTACTCTTCAATTCTTAACTCCAAATGCCCTTTGCCCCCTCCTTGCTCACTATTAGATCAGAGTAGTTATGATTACTGAAACATAAGGTTAGCATTTCCATCGTCACTGGGGTTAGAATTTGCATACCCCTGCATAATTCTTCTGCACAGCTGCTGTATCCTTCATCTTTCATCTTGGTGTGCTCCAGTCATCTGGAATTTCTTAAAACTGAACTATTCATAATAACAGCCTTGAAAGGACTTCGGGGGGAAGGTTGAGTTCAACGTTTTAGCAAGCATCTTTCCCATACATAGAAAGCTTCAGAGCCTCGCAAAGACATGAATGGTTCTGGCCGAAAAGTCTAATATTGACCACATGGGCTAAACGATTGCAGAACTAAATTTTTATTGCATTATAAATCTTCCAGGGACAACAACAAAAAAGGTCATCAGTCTCTTCCTTACTTACTTTTTGGAGATTTTTTTTTTAATTGCTCTCTTTACCTTCTCTGTTTCCCAAACAAAATTAGGGCACTCAACATTGTCATGACTTCCATTTGTCGATGACGTTTCTCTGATAAGCTGTTGAAACCCGTAGGCTAGAGGAGAGGAAATCACATGAAAACTGAAGCCATCTTTGAAAATCAAGATTGGCTGGAGGAATGAAGTAACTTCCACTTTCTAGCGGAATCAAAAGACATTGGCCAGCAGCCAATTATGTGAAATCAAGGAAAGGTAGCATAAGAGGGTAGCTCGAAAGGAAGAAGGCATGGATTCTAACCTTGACTTTACTTATTATAACTTGATGCATTTCCTTTAGCAAATCACTCGACTTTTCGGTAGATAGCCCTCTTGGTGGCAAGTGTCAGAATCCAGTACAATTGGCAAAAGGACAAGTGAAAGCAGAGGGAGGTCAGAACCACTTACTGGCTCCCATAAAAAGCCCAGGAGTGTATTTGGTCCAGTTGAGGCTGGATCTAGGCACTTCAATGATGTCACCAAGAAACATGTGCTCCTCATCCCTCAGCAGGTAGGCTCCACTCTCAGGCAGGCTTTTTGTGTGTGTGTGTGAGACAGAGCCTCACTCTATTGCCCAGGCTAGAGTGCCATGACGTCAGCCTAGCTCACAGCAACCTCAAACTTCTAGGCTCAAGCGATCCTCCTGCCTCAGCCTCCCAAGTAGCTGGGACTACAGGCATGCGACACCATGCCTGGCTAATTTTTTCTATATATATTTTTAGTTGGCCAATTAATTTCTTTCTATTTATAGTAGAGACGAGGTCTCGCTCTTGCTCAAGCTGGTTTCGAACTCCTGACCTTGAGCGATCCTCCCGCCTCGGCCTCCCAGAGTGCTAGGATTACAGGCATGAGGCACCGCGCCCGGCCATCAGACAGGCTTTCTACTTCCCATGAAAAGAGAGTTATTAGCGCTTTCTGTTTATGTCTATCAGTTTAGCTATCCCAGTGGGAAGAGAGCTCCCCCCTCCCAGTAGCTCCCATAAAAGACCTATGGTCTTTGGAGAACCCCTTCTGATCTCAGACTCCACCTTGAGCCAACGGAAGATATAGATTGCCCAGGTTTGGGCTGCATTCACCACATGTTACGTGGGCTGCCATTCGAGGGGGTTTTTGCCCAAAGGATAACCAGAGTAGCACTGCCAGAAAAAGTGGGAAATGGATGTGTGAAATGGTGGGCACGCAAAACCAATAAACGTCCACTCCAACCTCTCTTGGAGCTCAAAGCACTCAACAAAATGCAGAATTTGGAATTGATGACACTGGGGAGATTTTTACTCTAAGATTCAAACGACAATACCTTTAAGAAACTTTCGAGGAAGAAAGCTGAAACCCAATATCCCCTTCTCCTCCTCTATCTTTAGTAATGGAACCCTAATTCTATAGGGCACAGCTGCCCAGCAAAAGATTATTATTCGTGTGCTCCTAAGTAGCTAAATACGGCCATGACTGACAGGGTAGGCTGAATTATGGCCTCCACAGACATCCCGGTCTCGGTCCCTGGATACTAAGAATGTTACCGTACATAGTAACAGGGTCTTTGCAGGCCCCGTGACGCTGAGGATTTTGAGATGGGGAGATCATCCTGGATTATCCAGGGAGGCCTAACTGCAACCACAGATGCCCTCATAAGGAGGCAGAGGGAGATCAAATACGGGAGAGGAAGACACTACGTGACTACAGAGGCAGAGATTGGAGAGACGCCATCACAGCTGAGAAATGCCAGCGGCCACCGGAAGCAAAAGAGGCAAAAAGAAGATTTTCCTCCCCAGAGTCTCCAGAGGGGAACAGCCCTGCTAACATCTTGATGTCACTGGCGAAACTGAAAAAGGACTGCAAGAGAACGGATTTATGTTGCCTTAAGCCACTGAGTTTGTGATGGTTTGTTGCAGCAGCCATCGGGGGCTATTAACAATGCAACTGAGTTCCGGCAAATAAAATACGAGCAGAAGGAAGGCGGCTCACTTCCAGCTCATGCCCCTCAAGGGAAAGGTGATTCCCTCTTTTTGTTCAGCGGGCTGGAATGCAGGCGCAATGGAGGGAGATCTTGGCCCTCCACCCACCCATTATGTGAATAAATTCAGCCGTCCTTGCATTGCAGAGCAACAAGATAGAAGGAGCCTGGGCCCGGAACATCCAGTTTGCGCTTCCAATTTGAGACATACATAAAATCCTACCTTGTTTAAGTCACTGAATTTTGGAGTCTCTTATCTATATTCTAACAAAATATTACCATTTCTGTCTGCCATGAGACTGCACCCCAAAGACTTCCAATTACAGGGAGTGTCATTAACCAACAGTCAGTGGCTACCATCTGAAATTTGCTACCACGTCTGTACCCAGTCCAATGCTTCCCACGAGCAGCTTCCCAGAAAATGACTGGGCATGGTGGAGAAACTAAAGCAAGGCTCTCCCATCCTTACCAGCTCCTGCCCCATTCTCTCTCTCCCAAGTGCTTCCTGTAATTAGATCCTTGCTCATTTCATCTCATTTTGTCATCTGCTTCTCAGACTCACATACCATCTTTTCTCAAAAATTCAAACACAATGAGATCTTCTGGCAAAGTAAGAAAAAAATAACAGGGATCTTATATCAAGCAGTGGAAGTGACTTGGTGTAAACATATTTTGTAAATACCCAAGGTACCGTTCCACGAAACCAAAGCGGAAGACTTGGCCATCTTAAACAACTTTATTTTTCCCCAAACAACCTCTTGCTTACTTCTAAATTCTCCTCTACCACTTGGAAATAAATTAGGAGGGCAATACAGCTTTCTGTCAAGATTTTGCAAACAATATGTTATTGGCTATTCTGAACAAGAGGATAGAAAGTAAAATTTCATCACTTATCCAGCTGCTTTATCTAAATTTCAAACACGTCGTTGGCAAATGCTAACCAAGTGAAGGATTCAGGGTGGCCGGATTTTTTCATTCATTCTCGACTTGATTAAACCTAGTGTAGATGCAGTTGGTTATCTCTGAGTCTCTGCATGTTTGTTCCTTTTTGTCTTGCTGGGTGCCGGTCCCTCATGCTGGTTTTACAAATGTCCACACGGTGTGAAGTTTGGCTTAACTCCTCCGCCTTGTGTACACACAACCGCTGTGTGTTAGTCGTCTTTGGGGAACGAAAATGGAGGGAAAACGACACACGGAGACAAAGATGGGCAGAAAGGATGGGGACCCCAATTGCTGGCAAGAGACGATTGAGATGCAAACCCCCTTTCCCCAAAGAAAGGGACTTCTTATGGGAACCAGGCAGTTCACACACGCTGACACGCGACGAGAGCCTACTTTCTCCTTGGTGGGCAATTGCAATTCACTTTTCCACACACAGGAAAAGTGGGTATGGCTTTTACTTTCACATTTCCCACCAAGGAAAACTCCCCCCGGCTACATTTTCCACTCTAAAAGCACTTGTTCTGCAAGTAACAACATTTGAGGAGTGAAAATATTCCATCATCCCTCCCTTCTACATGCGTTTTTCTCTTTTACCTGCGTCGGAACACAAATGCAACCTGGTCTTTGCCCAGCCTCACATTCGCATGGAAACAGGCCCATGTGGAAGGCTGATTAATCCTCAAAGAAGCCATGGCAGAATCTGATGAAAGCCGAAATGTATCTTCACAGATGGTTGTGCTCTGATGTATGCGGTCTGAAAAATATCAAGCAAAGCGATATTCCATTTCTGTTTTATCTGTTCCCTGAAAGCAATTAGACATGAAAAGGTAGACAGGCAGGACACAGTTAACAAACAAAGACTAAAAGAGTTGTCATCGGGTTCGAAATGTTCTAGAAAATTAATGAGGGCCACTCGCCGATGTGACTGGAAAATACAGCCATGAAAAACCTATGTTGCGAACGTCCACATACTTACAGCCCACATCACAGTTCTGGGAAGCGGGAGATAAATGGGCCAACATTGATTGTTTCTGCAGGAATAGGACAATCCCCCAAAGAAGAGAAACAGAATGTCTCTCCCTTCACATAAAAAGCAAATTACAGATGGAAGAAAAAAAAAGAAAGAAAGAAAGAAAGAAATTTCACTGCTTTCCAAGCAAGATTCAATTAAAAAAAGATGTCTGGCTTTGACAGGGCAAATTCCAGGCGTGGAGTATTTTCATAGACGTTGTTGGTCCTAAAGGAAAGATTTGAATGCTACAAAAAAAAAACACAAAAAACTATGGAACTCTTCACAGCTTGTCGTAATTTTTTTTCTGTTAATACTAAGGAGGGATTTCCTCCTCCTGACCTCGTATTTCCCCCCTAGCTGACCCTGCAAGGTGGTGGTATGCGTGCAACAGTGCATTTCCTTCCTGGAAAAAAATCACATCGTCTAATAGCTGCGACGCAGACATTGGACGGCGATCAGCACTGCCTTACGGCAATGCCGTGACTGGAGGGCGCTTTACGGCGTCGTACGTGCGAACACGAGGAAAATGGCGGGCGGAAACTGCGGGGACGAGGGCCCGAGGCCTCTCGCCCTGCCTCCCCACGCCATACCGCGAGGACCGAACAGATGGCATTGTTGAATTAGAAGGCAGCTCGCACTCGGGGGATACCCACTCCCATCTGCAGGAATATTAGGCAGAAGCTGTCGCCTCGCGCCGTTTCCAAGGTAAAAGCCAAGAACCGCCGGACGTCGCGCGATTTTCTTGTGAGTCGACACTTGCGCGCGCACGTTCCTCTCCGCCCCTGTCACCTTCCGTCCGCCCCGTGCAGGGCATCGTGAGGGTTTTTAGAGACCCTGCTCTGGATGTTGTTGCAATGCTCAGGACGCCTGTCAGGGGCAGGAATGGAGCTCCAAGAGTCAGGCCATAATATATACACCTTATATATACACCATAATATATACACCTGTTTGGGTGTTATCAGGTTGCCCCATTTGCCTTTTTTTTTTCCTTTCTTTTCTTTTATCTCAAATTCTGTGGGTACAAATATTGTTAAAGGTCACATATCTTGCCCCTGCCCCGCCTCCCCACCCCGCTCTGCCAGAGCTTCAAGGGTGCCCAGTCTCCAAGGGGTGCGCCCTGCACCCACCATGAAAGTGCGTGCCCTTCCCCTCCTCCCCCCTTCCACCTGTCCACCTCCCATCAACAAATTTTTTTTTTTTTAGACATTTTGGTTGCAGTGTGTTTCTTTGCCTCTCTCTAAAAAGGGATAGAGGTAATCCTTTCCTCCCCCCTACAATGCTCATCACATCCTTAAGATGTGGGTCTCTCCCCCCCACTCACCCAGATCCCTGTTGAACACTACAGTTTTTTTTGAGCACCATAGTTTTAGGCTGTCAGTACCTATTTGATGGCGAGTAGATGTGTGTAGCCCATTTTCCAGGTCTTGTGTCGTCTCGCTTTGTATGTTACAGGCTTAAGCTTAATCCAAGATAGCATAAACGGTGCTAGTTGACTGTCGTTTCTTAGGATTGAGGAATATTCCATTGTGAGTATACACCACATTTTAGTTGTCCACTCATGAATCGACGGGCACTTGGGTAGTTTCCATGACCGTGCAACAGTGAATTGTGCTGCCATAAACATTCGGGTGCAGATGTCTTTATAATAGAGTGACTTACGTTCTTTTGGGTAGATGGCCAACAATGCTATTGCTGGGTCGAATGGTATTTCTATTTCTAGTTGTTTGAGATATCTCCACATTCTTTTCCGCAGAGGTTGCACTAATTTGCAGTCCCACCAGCAGTGTAGGATGTTTCCTGTCTCCACATCCTCGCCAGCATTTGTTGTTTGGGATTTCTTGATACAGGCCATTCTCACTGGGGTTAGGTGGTATCTCATTGTGGTTTTGATTTGCATTTCCATTTGCCTTGTCATGCCATTCCTCAGCTGACACCAGGACCCTTGAAAATCCAGAGAAAGCATTTTCCTAGTTCTGTCTCCATCAACCTCTGGGCAGCACGGGCTTCATTCTCTGTCCCCTCTCGCCCTTTGCAGATAATCGCCTACAAAGTTTTGGTGCCCATATTACATATGTTTCAACCTGTCCTCCGAACATTAACTGTTTGGGATTAAAAGAGTTTCTAAGAAGTACTTTCAGCCTTCACTTGAACTCCTGCCAAATCTACAGCTCTCCACACAGAAAGGAAAATGCTGAGCATTAAAAAAAAAAAATGAGGATTAGTCAGAAACAGATAATAAATAGCACACTACTGCATGTGGCAGAAGGAAAAAAAAAAACACAAAAACCCAAATTGTTTGTATTTTTAACAGTTTAACCATGACAACGGGTTGAGGTCTTAGTCAAGGTAAGAGGAATACAGGTCTGTGGCAGAAAGCAAGAAAAGAGAGAGGCTTTACCATGGAAACCATACCAGACTATTGATGTTGTTTATGCAGCCAGATGAAGAGAGTCTACTTAAAAACTCTCACAAGGCATTATTTGCAATGCAAATATTAATAGCAGTAATAAGCAATGTAATAAATCGTGGTGAGGATAATAACAAAACTAGGAGTTGGACTAAGGTCTACAGGACTATAGTTTTCTTACTATTATGCCAATAAAGGGGCGCAGTGGCTCACACCTCTAATCCTAGCACTCTGGGAGGCCAAGATGGGAGGATCGCTCAAGGTCAGGAGTTCGAAACCAGCCTGAGCAAGAGCGAGACCGGCTCTCTACTTAAAAAAAAAAAAAGAAAGAAATTAATTGGCCAACTAAAAATACATAGAAAAATTAGCTGGGCATTGGTGGCACGTGCCTGTAGTCCCACCTACTCAGGAGGCTGAGGCAGGAGGATCACTTGAGCCCAGGAGTTGGAGGTTGCTGTGAACGAGGCTGACGCCACGGCACTCACTCTAGCCTGGGCAACAGAGTGAGACTCTGTCTCAGAAAAATAAAAAAATAAAAATAAAGGGGCAGGGCGAACTCCATGAGACCTTGGTCAGAGTCTCTGCAGGTTTGGTTGGAGAGTGGCCTGGCCACCACTTGAGAAGAAGAGAACTGCAGTGGTGACATCATAACAAACACCACCAGCACAACTTACGTATTCTTAAAAAAAGAAAAAGAAAAACCCAACCCCATTAAAATGAGAGCATCAAGGCCCAAAGAGAGGTTGAGCAACATGCCAAAGGTTACGCAGCTGATAGATGGTACCACAAAGATGTGAACCCATGCCGCACAGCTCAGCGAATCCCCACTTGACCCCCCCCCACTATCCTGCCAACATAGTGGCTCGGAGAGTTGCAACGTGTGTGTTCCATGTGTCACTACAGAAGTGGGCATTTACCCAGTGGCTTGCATATTTGGTCATGCATTCAACAACTACGTGTTGAGCACCTACGATGCGCCCGGCATTCATGCTAGAGTCTGGGGCTTTCGTGATAAACAAGCAGGTGAGCTCCCTGCTCTTTTGGAATTTACAGTCTCCTTAGGGAAATGGGTGGGGAAAAAATCAAACTACCTGCAGAGCTATGGCAGGAAATACTCTCAGGTAGTCCTAGAAGGTTGACATGCTTCAGAATTGCTTATTAAAATACAAACTGCTGGACCCACAGTTTCTGATGTAGCAAGGCTGTGTTTAAGCCCAAGAATTTGCATTTCTATCAATACCAAGTTCCCAGGTGACGCTGTTGGGCCAGGGACTGTCCTTTGAGCTCTGCTGTTCTCAAGGTCATTGGGTTGGGGGAGGAATACTTCTTTACGTTGTATTGCACATATCTTGGAGGCAATCCTGTGTTTAAGAAGAAGAGTCACTGACCTCTACAGGTATGAGTTGAGGCTTGCCAGCAAGTCTCTCACCCTGCCTTAAAATATCAACATGCTCCTGAGATGGGTCACATTCGGCCACCAGCTGCCACCGACATGGGGGATGTGACAGGCTGGGACGGGACAGGCAAGTCTGGATAACACAGTGCTGAAAGGAAAAGTAAGATGTGAGGCCTGGGTATGAAGTCTTGACTACATCATTGAGGAATCGGAAGGAAACAGTCAAGATATTGACACCCTAAGAGCTGGAAATGCTCATGGGAAGAAGAGAACCACTACGGGGGAATTTTTTTACTCATCAATCCAAAAAAAAATACATCTGATCTTTACAGGTAATGACGCCCTACCTAAGTTTAATCGACACGATGATTAAAATTTTCTCCAGTTTCCTGGGTCAGGGTCTGGTTCTAACACATGTTATAAATAAATAGATAAATAAATAAATAAAAAGGAAAAAGAGAAAAAGCCTGAGAATTTCTTGTTTTCCAGATTCATGGCCTTCGTGTGTATTGGGAATATACACAGCAAGAATGAAGGGCAGCACTGGGAAGGAGCCAATTTCTCTGAAATCTATATGCGGATATCCGTGGGAACAATACTATACATACACACACAGAGAATGATATTTTTTTCAGAAGCGAATTGCAGGCTGAATGCTACACCAGCGGTCCCCACCCTTTCTGGCACCAGGGATCGGTTTCATGGAAGACGGTTTTTCCATGGATTGGGGGGTGGGGGGTGGGGTGGAGGTGGAGCTCAGTGGTGATGCCAGCGGTTGGGACTGGCTGTATAAATGAAACTTCTCTCGCCTCCTGCCGTGCGGCCCCTGGTTCCTAGGTTTCATGGAAGACGGTTTTTCCATGGACCTGGGGGTGGCTGGGCTGCAGAGCTCTGCCGCCTGGGCCCGGCGAGGCCCTGCACCGATACAGCCCAAGGGTTGGGGACCGCAGTGCTACAGGACAAGAGGGCTTGTCCTGCTGGGTTATAAAACCACGTGATGCAGAAAGGAGCGACTCAAGTGTCGGCAATCGGCCGGCCTTCCCTCTAGATCGAGCAGAGTGGATTTCTAACACCAAGATGTCATTTTGCTGTGCTCTCCAAATGGCCTTTCACCGGAGCCAAGAAAGAGCACATAACAAGTTGGACAAATAAACATCCAGCCTTAAAGACAAATGCAAGCGATTCGGAAAGTCATTTAGGAGGTGATCGTCTATGTCATCAGCTATCTAGATCACCTATTCCTTCTCCTGGCCCCGATAACTAAAAGCTTAACTAGATTTTTTTCAGTGACCAAGTTTCTAAGCTGATGGCCCACAGGCCAAATATCACATATAGATGTGATCTGTTTGACTTGCATATTTTTCTGCTTGTTCACATACTGTATTTCCCCAAAAATAAGACACGGTCTTATATTGATTTTTCCTCAAGAAGACACCCTAGGGCTTATTTTCAGGGGATGTGTTATTTTTTTTTTAAGTACGGTACAACCATCCACATTGATTCAAATACAGTTAAGTTGTCTTCTTCTGGAACATCATCATCACTCTCCAAACCCCAAATCCCATCCTGAATGTCTTGAGACTCTATTTCCTTTAGAACCACTGGCCTCAGTCTCTCATGTCGAGCACTAGAGCTCTCATGGGGCAGATGAGAAGGGCTGCTCATCTTCTTTCCCACTCCCAGACGACATGCATGGGTTGTGCAGATGTGCTGCATAGCCACGCCCATCACTAGGGCTTATTTTCATAGCCACGCCCAGCACTGGGGCTTATTTTCATAGCCACGCCCAGCACTAGGGCTTATTTTCTGGGTAGGGCTTCTATTGTGCAAATGCTTAGAAATCCTGCTAGGGCTTATTTTATGGGTAGGTCTTATTTTCGGGGAAATACGGTACTTTTAAAG